AAGGGGCCCGATTTCGAAACGGTACAGTAAGGTCGTACGTACCGCTGCATTGTGCACTCCACCCTTCAGGACGAGAGTGATGTCGCGCCGGCGCCATAAGTGGCGAAGGTTGGCAAAAGCGCCTCGAGCTTTTACTATACGGTTCGTGATCTCATCTTTGAACGACTTCTGGCTGATCCCCACCAAAGGTCAGCGTAGGAGGCCGTCCAGACCAGTCTTGGAGGAACGCTTGGCACTTCGAGCGTGCGAACCAAAGCCCGAAGTGACGGACAGCCAGTGTTAATCTGTCCAGTACCGATTGGCACATTTGTGAGCTATCACAGATTAGGGCAATTTCGTCAGCATACTCTAAGTCAGGAAGTCGTTCTCCTAGGAGCAGATCCACACCTTCTAAGTCGTGTCCTGTAAACGCGATTTCCATAACTTCGTCAATAGCGAAGTTGAAGTAGGCTGGGGACAACGAGCATCCTTGTCTCACCGCTGGAGATATTAAAGGGCGACGACACGTTGCCGTAAGCCCTCACTCTACCTGAGCTACGTGCGTATAATTCTCGGATAATATTTACAAATTCCTCAGGTACACCTTTCCTGTGTAGACAGTCCCAAAGTGCAAGTCTATCCACCGAATCGTATGCACCTTTGATGTTAAGGAACAAGACAACCGTGGGCCGCGAATATATGTGACGGTGCTCCAATAACTGACGCAAAGTGATGTGGTCAATGCAGCCACGACCTCGACGAAGCCTGGCTTGCTGTTCACCCATCTGGTTTTGTATCGTGAGTCATTGATCCACTCTCAGATACATTCGCTTGTGTGTTTTCCGGAACCTTTGTGCAGGCATTTAAACGGGTCCGCCGTTTCAGCGTGGGCTATTTACTGATCCAAAGCCAAATGGGATGTTGGCGCCACAATACTCACTGCCCAGTAGATCTCATACGAATAGGTCCTTTCGACCCTGATGGCCCCATCTGTGCTTAGTTTGCTTGATGATGCATTGACGTCATTTTAAAGTATCAGTTATCGACTGTCATCGTCCTAAAAATATACCATAGAATGCTGTGCAAGGGTTTGAAAACCTGCACCTTATTTCCATTTCTGAACTACTTGTTAGCAGCATACTGAGGCAACTTGCTGGTCTTTGAATCGATGACCGCGTCAGACACACACCTAATTCACTCAGTCGCGCCCACTCTCTCCTTGTATTCAGCACATCAAAGCGCACTTCTACCAGTTCAGTGCACTAGGATCGTCATTTGTACCAACTAAACGCATTCAAAACGTTGTTGTAAACATTCCAACCATCGGTGAGATTCGGTACGAATTGATGTTGCTTTGGTAGACGACGATGGAGGCTCACCATTGGCCGCCTTGGTTGCCTTTATCCCAATATCTGGATCAAGATAATGTACCTACTGATTGGCGATTACCGGTTGTTATACCGAATTGTAGTGGCTCAGTGGACCACTGTTGGAAGCTATCGTGATATTTATCACTTCTCTATTGTTTTTGGATTACTCATATCTTTCATGTTTGTACCGCTTCATGAAAGTCGGATTGTGCGGGAAAAGATAAGAATTCCCCGGAAAATCCATTATTTCAGCGATTACCGATTATTACCCATTATCGCCCCAATTTCGAACGTCCTGGAATACTCCAGTGCTTGCACGTGACTAACAACCTCCTGAAGATCGGTCAAAACTATGTGGAACAACTAACCTTGACAGTTGGCCTTCCTACTTCTGAAGTCGAAGTAAGTAAGAAACCTATAAATACAGCTAACATGTGCTCCATTTGTACAGTGTTTTGTTGACGGTGGTCAACAGGTTTCTTTGTCCAGGTCATTGGCGTTCTGCTTTTTCTTTCGGTTGGGCTAGAAGTTTTGTGGTGGTGGTAGTATCGCGTTTAGTGGGTAGATTATAACAAATGGCGGCGGAGAAAATTGGAAATGTGATGCATTTTTTTGCTGAACAATTTCAAAAGCAGCCTTTCCAACAGCAACCTCAAATAAAGGCACAAATGCAAATAATCGAAAATTTGGCACAATGCTTGAGTGTGCAGTCGACAGGAGCAGCGGCGCGAAACACGCAGGCGAATTCCGTTGATCTTCTCAGAAATGCAATCACTGTATTCAATTTGGACGCGGATTCTGGGTGCACGTTCAAAGCTTGGTTCGAACGCTAGGAAGACATGTTCCGAACGGATTTTGTTCGTCAGCACGAGTCTTGAAAGGTGCGAGGGCTACTCCGTAAACCTCGGCACAAGTGAACATTCAAGGTTCATAGAGCACATTCTGCCCAAACAACCGAAAGATCTGAGGTTTGACGAAACAGTCGCAGCTGAATGAAATTTTCGGTAAGTTGTATCCTTGTTTACTATTCGCTATCAATGCTTGAAAATTGTCCAACGGGAATCGGACGCCTTTGGAACCCTAGCAGACATGATTAACCGTGTATGTGAGCGTTTCAAGCTAAGCTCTTTAACGGACGATCAGTTTAAATGTTTCATTTTTGTCAGCGCTTTACAATTCCCCAGTGATGCTGAGATTCGCCCGCGGCTTTTAGCTAAGCTGCATCGGGATCCCGATCTGATAACGGAGGCCCTCGTAAGCGAATACAAACGGCTGCTCACTCTGAAACACGACACTGCCCTGATCGAACAGAATGGTCTCACACTACCCGATACTGTGCACTCCGTGAAAAGGCCAGGACTGTCAGCTTGAGCAAACCATACAATAGGTCTACAAACAAACAGCCACAACATGCTGATCATGCGGTGAATGGCATTTTGCACGCTTTTGCCCGTTTTAACTTCCTATTTGTGAAGCGTGCCATAAGCGGGGAGGAATTCTACAGTCAGGTCCAACCGAAGAACGTGTAGTCTTATCGAAAGAGGAATTCTCAAGGATGGCACAGAGTCTCTGTCCATAGTTGCCGCATTCCAAAATGAGTGTAAACCGAGACGACGATTCCTCAGCGTTTTCATTAATGGGATCTCAACGAAACCAAATCGACACTGCCTCGGGCATTATGATTAGTTCCAGGAACACATGGAATCACCTAAGTAAGCGAAAGATGATCAAGTCTCACAAAGTTGCTCACAATACTTCAGGTGGTGTGCTGGAATTGGTGGGCGAACTTACTTGTAAGATTGCATTCAAAGGTGTGGAAACGTCGAGTACATGCTACATTTCAGACCTGCCAAATTTGCATATTCTTGGTTTCGACTGGAGTGAAAAATTGCAGCTGCTCGATGTTCCTTTGAATCAGATTTCCAATCGAGTCCGAGCAAGTCCGGACCCATTATCAAAGTCCGTCGAGGACATGACACGTTCGCTTTGTGAAAATTTGCCTTGTCTTTCAGGACGGCTTGGGCCATTGTGCGAACTTCAAGGCAATGCTGAGGTTGCGACCAGGACCCAAACCAGTCTTTAAGGCTAGAAGACTGATACTATCTGCAGGTATGTCAACCGTTGATCAACTACTCAATAGACTGGAACGAGCCGGAGTCATCACAGCCGTCAACTGCTCATCATGAGCCTCACCTTTAGTCCCAGTGAAGAAGGAAATGGCAAAGTACGCGTCTGCGCTAACTTCTCAAGTAGACCTAACGCCGCGTTGGACGACCACCAGTACCCATTACCCGTACTGGAAGATCTCTTTGCAAAACTGTAAGGTGGTAAGTGCTTTTCCAAGCTTGATCTGTCCGATGCCTACTCTCAGGTGGATGTTGCCGAACACATGTGGGAGTTGTTGACGATCAATACTCATCGTGGGCTATTCCAATACAACCGCTTGCCCTGCACGTGACTAGCAACTTCCTGAAGATCGGCCAGAACTATGTGGGATTATGTGGTGGTTGGCCTTCCTATTCCAGAAGTCGAAGGTCAGTAAGAGACCTATAAATGGAACTAAGGTCCGTTGCATTTGTGCAATGTTTTGTTGACGGCGGCCAACACGTTCCTTTGTCAAGATCATTGGCGTTCTGCTTTTACCTTTGGTTGGTTTTGTGGAGCAGTAAACTGCTTGTTTCGGAATCGCGTCTGGTGGGTGGATAATAACTCGGATCGACAACATTATCGATGCTGCATCAACTGCATATTTATAGTTCGCTTGATCCTTAACCTTATGCTTGCCAACAACCTATCGCGGTAGTTTTCTTTGAATTAAGGGTCACCCATTCTCTGAACGCGGGTCTGAGGGACCACTTCCTCTTTGGCGCTATGTATGGGACCATCTAAGGTTCTGCTGGATGCTGCCCTTTGATTTCACCACGGTTTCCCCATCTACTTTTCGTGAATGTTTCGCCTGCTTCTAATTTCCCTAGTATGCAGGCTTTGACTGTGTACCAAACGCGTACAGGGCTAACACGAGCCTCTACACTTGGTCTCCAAGTGCGTATGGTCGAAAGAATTCCGTTCTCTCTCGTTTATTAACCACACGCTTGTGAAGAAGCCGCCGCTCTACCTGTTGGTCTTTGAAGGAGTTTCATGTCATGTTTGCCTCAATGTGCTTCAATTCTTTCGATACTTCGGCTTCCGGAAACCCTTTTAGTTTAATCTACCATCTGCTTTTGACTTACTTCGCATTCCGAGTCCGTATGGCTATGGTTAGTGCCCCCTTCCGATTTTGGAACGGTATTCTTCAGTGCGGTAGTCTTTGTGCTCCTTCAGTTAACTTGTGGAAGTGAGTAGTATGCGATTTTAGGATATCCTGTACTAGTCACAACCTGATCTACTCCCATTGTCACTTTCGAGATCTATCGTTCTGTTGCTGTGATCGGATTCCACAAGTACTATTACCAGTGATTCTATTGCGGCACCATTAGTTCTGCCCTTGCTTTTTACCGCCTCGGCATCAGTGCGCCCTTATGTTCTTTCAACCGTCAAACACGCACTTGTGTTTTCCGTTTTTGTGACCGTTTTTCTTGTGAGGATCATGGCGTAGTTTTTATCCTACATTTGGCTTCTTTTTTAACTTATAGTCTGTTATTTACTTCACAGTTCACCGTTCAATCAAGCCTTTCTCTGGCGTTACACCACCTCATGTTCCTGGATTTCGTTTGGATTCAACGAATCTGATCCTGACTTCCATCAAGGGCGCCATGCGCTATCCCGATTTCCTCACCAGCACCCAGCTTCCTTTGTTGTGTTTCGTTCTGGGCCAGCTTCGAAGCACCGAACTTGCAGCAGGCATGTTGGATCTGTCGGCTGGAAGAATAGTGGGTATTTTTTGTCATTTGTTTTCGGTTTTATCCCTGCTTGTCCCGTGGCCGAAAGGATCACAAGGTTGCTTTTTACTCCGAAGGTCACGGGTTCCAGCCTGCGTAGGGTATCGGACGACCCTCGTAGTATCCTCAACCCACATGCGACCGGTGGTGGTTGCTTGAAAGCGGAGCGTCGACACGCAATACCGACGTAGTGCTGATGCCTTTTTGTCCCTACTTTATCACACCGTCCTGTTTCATGTCTGGGCTGTCTCCTTTTTCCTTCTATGGTACACAATCCCCTTCTTACATCGTTGGGTTTTAGAGTGCCCGCGGTGTTCGGCTTGCCACACGCCATCTTGATTGGGAATATGATTTACTTAAGAGTGAAAATTGGCCATTCCGATTACCGGGATGGCATCAGAAGTAGAGAGTTTTCGGTGTTGCTGCTTCGAATCCGCGTTGGGGTGGGCGTCCTCGCGGTATACTCAGCCGCGTGCGATTGATGGTGGTCGCACGGCAGCGAAGTGTCGTTACGGCGTACAGCTGGCATATTATTATTATTATTATTATTAATTCTATTGTTATTATTATTAGGTTCCAAACACTGCACCTCAGCAACGGTTTGATCACCAGGCCTTTGAACTTCATTGCAAAATCGGGCGCATCGATTAGAGGCACTATTCAAAGTTGGACTTGGAGAATTCGCTCTGTGGTTGGGTTGCTACAAGCAACCTCTGTTGAGACCTCGATTCACTTTAGGTGGACCTCGGTCATTCCGATCACAAGGACCGTATGTAAAATGGAAATATTTTGGTGTTGCTCATCCAAACACTGACACCTCACGATTGCGGTTTCGTCCTGGTTTGGACTCATCAGGTGGAGATAGCCTGAGCTGTGGTGGAAATCAGAGCCTAGTGGTTCACGGCTGACGCTGTAAATACTGTGCCACCGATCCGTCAGCAACGCTTGGTACAGCGGAAACGAATTCAAAGTTGGAGTCGGATTTGGACTCGGAATGACCGAGGTCTACCTCAAGTGAACGAGGTCTCATTAAAGCTTGTTTGTAGCAACCCAACCACACTGCGGATTCTCCAAGTCCAAATTTGAATTGGTTTTCGCTGTACCGAACGTTGCACACGGATCTCAGTGGCATAGTGTTCATGGCGTCAGCCGTGAACCACCAGGCTCTGATTTCCACCACAGCTCAGGCTATCTCCACTTGATGAGTCCATACCAGTACGAAACCTCGGTCGCGGGTGTCAGTGTTTGGATGAGCAACACCAAAATTTTTCCATAGGGGCACTACTGTTTGTCTCGTCCACGCCGCGTCAAGCCCGCATAACTTCCTGACTACTATCTTTTCAAACGTATTCAGGTGGTGAAAGGCTCCTCACTATATAACGCTAAGTCAAAATTTCATAGTTGATGGCTTACTGAATTACTTCCTGGTCCGAGATGGGGGGTTTGAGCTTATCCCGCTACAGCAAGTAGTTCGGCGATAGTGTTTTAGGATGTGATAGGTTTTCATATGGCAAACGTTGTCCCTAAAAATCACCAATGTCTTTTTGTTACTACCGCGGTGTGGCCTATGTGACTTACCGTTAACCATAGTCATTGCATCTTACTTCTCCTCGGTAGACCGGAAGATGGACGACAGGTGTATTGGGCCTCTTTTTGGCAGCTCACCAGAGCCAAGGCGTATGGGCTGAATAATCATTCACTGGTCCTGGATGGGTGTGATCCCTTGACTTCGCTCCGCTACCTTACTGGTAGACTATTCAGGCAAATCTTCCGGGTGGTGTCCCTTAAGTCAACTCCCTTGGCTTAGGCCATTGGGTAGTACCGCATCCTCTAAAACCCATGAATTGCTGTGCTGTGTTTGGTTTTCTGTTTACGATAATTGTGTGTTTCTTTTGTTTCTATGGTTTTTGATTGATTCTTGTCTATTCGTAGATTGCTGATCAAAACCACCTGGTCACATTATATCATCCCCCAATCCTTATGACATTGTACTTATTTCCGTAACCTCTTCTGTCTGTTCCGTATGTTCTCTTCCAATTTTCAGAAATCACGTTCTGTTGGTCTAGAACTCGCCTTGGTTGAATGGATCGTGGATATTATGGAGCTTACAGAATCCACCGATGACCGCCGCTGGGTCCGGACTATTTTTGAACATTTAATTAGCCTGGTGATTACATTCATGTTAAGCAGTACGATTCGATTCAACGAGATTGTGGTGAAGTTGAATTCTAGGGTAAGTGTGCAGTCTTATCACGTCATAGTGGATGTCTAGTCTCCCGTGCTATCAGCTCATAACGACACACTTTCATTTTGTTTACTTCACCTTTTTTGGTTCAAATCACGACGTCTCAAAAGTTTTCCCCTCCCCTGTTGTCCAAGCATGCTTGCTTCGCTCTCTGGATGTGATCTAACTTCATAGGGTGTCGCCGTTGCATGTTTTCGCTTTCACTTTATCTTACTCTAAGAGAGCGATGTCTCTGTGTTGTTTCTATCGACCATTCTTCTCTGGACAGGAGATCTCAGCTCCCAGACTAACAGTTTTCGGGCTACTCTTTTGGTCTGTTCCATCCAGTTAGAAGCCATTTCGCTTTGTGTCAGCTTGATTTTGCCTCACGAAAGTTTTGGACCTCAGCATTACGAACATCTGAACTCCACCATCTTCTTGACATGTTTCCATTTGTGAGGTGTATTGTTGGGAAACCATCCGTTCTCTTTTGATGCCTCAAGAATGTGATCGTGGCCCAGTTGGCTCAGGCTATAGTCGGCCTGTGGCCTTGCAACTCGAAGGTCGCGGGTTCGAGCCTGCGTAAGGGACCGAGAGCCCTCGCACTATCCTTATCCCTCGCGCGACTGGTGGCGATCGCATGGCAGCATATTTACTGACTGGGGCCGCAGTGAGAAGTGCATCTGGTATTCGCATTAGCAGAGACTGGGAGTGTTATTTAGGGATTGGATTTCAGTGCTGTTGCGTTCATTGTTCCTTTAAGCATTCTCTAGATCGGAGTTTTATGTCCCTTAACACGCCTCATCCCTCAACTCTCATATCCAGCGCGTAACGGACGTAAGGCAGTTCGTTAAATCTTGACCAGCTTACACTGTTGTTCCACAATTTTTATGGTGTCAGCACTACGCCAGCACTTTTATTAGGTTTCTCCAACGGTTGAACACCACGCAACTTTTTCGGGACACTAGCTGGGTCTGTGGTAGATCACGTGGGAAGATGAATCGCTCTGTTCGCAATGCACGACACAGGTTGCCGCGCAATCCAGAGCAGTTGACGGAGCCAGTTCACCATCGCCGCACGGGTTGCTATGGTGCGGACGTGCTCTGAATACTGAAAGTAGAGAGCGTCTCCAAGGCTCGGGTTACTTTTGCCAATCTCCGCCATCTCTGGCGTCGAGGTGATCTGAGTCTATCTGAAGGGCCGAGCTTACCATGCCACAGGGAGAGCGGTTCTGCTCTATGGCCGCGAGACGGCATGTTCGCGCAAAGCATGTTGAGAGGCTGCCTGTTTTTGACCGCTGCATTCGGTACGATGACAACATCACACTAGCAATGAAGATGTTCGACGGAGGATTTTCAGATCAGACAGACTTTGCTGGCCATTGAGCAGCATACTTTTTCTGCGCAGATTTCAGTGGCTTGGGCATGTTCTTCGCATGCCTACTCATCGCTTACCTCGCCATGCCATCTTCCCGCCCGCAGAAGTCAGCTAGAAGCGAAAGCAAGGTGGCCAACGTATGACTTCGGCAAGGAGCATGAAGGCGCTAACGTCAAAGTTAACCGTGATCGGGCCCTCTCGGCTCCCTGACTAGTGTGGAGGATCCGGAACACGCATGGCTGAAAGCACTTTCGGATATGGCACGAAACCGTTCGTAATGGGACTGTCTATTCTCATGAACACCGTTTATTTTCCCCCTGTCCCTTAGTTTGTTTTTTGTGTTTTCCATAATTGTGGCACTATGCCACTTGCACTATTGGTGGTGTTGAGTATATGTACTAGTTTCTGCCGGTGTCCGCATGTGCTACTTGGTGTGCGAACATACAGCAACGGCCTCAATATACGGAAGTAGGCCAGGTGCAGTATCCGGTGCGTCATAATGAGACCGACTCGAAGCCGACGATATGGCAGGGTATAAAGCCCTAGTCTCCTCGTACGCCACCGCGTAAACTGGGGATGAGCCGGGCAGCTACATGCTGGATCCGTTCCAGTCTCTGCATCTCATCTATTGTGATCTGGTGCACCGTACTCAAACACCGTTCTTATCATGGATGAGAACAGGTGGGTGGCAGTTTGCAGACCAAGCGCAGAAGCTGCGTCTAAGTACCCAAAGCAGGCGTAGTCCATTTGCGTACAGTTTGTTCGTGTTGTTGACAGAGTCCAAATCACAGCGTGAGAATTCGCCTAGATACTTTATGGAACTGGTGGGATGCAGCGGATGGCCGGCCAGGGTGCACGCACACCCAATACCACTCCTTCCCAGGCTCATAAACGAGGACTTGGTCTAGTTGACCGGCATGTCTACTTCTGCTAACCGCCGGGAGAGATGTTCGAGGTCTTGCTGAAGGACGTCACAGTCGCCGGAAGAATCTATAATCCTCCAAATCTTCAGATCGTCTGCAAATAATGTACAGGGTAACCGAAGGAGCTGAGTTACGTCGTTGATGTGGATCAGGAACAAAGTGGGCACCAGTACTGTGTCTTGGGGTACGCCACTAGTGGACGGGTACCATTCCGTTAGGTGATCATCCAACTTAACCCGCCATCTTCTCTCATTAAGGAACTCATTGATCCACTGTTGCAGTGCGCCACCAACACCACACATCCTCAGCTTGTGGAGCAGGACCTCATGCTTCATTTTCTCGAAAGCTTAACTGAAATCCATGTAGATAACATCCACTGACTTTCCCGGTTCAACGCTTGAAACCATTACTGCGGCGTCAGCAGCAGATTAGTGATGTACGAGCGGCCCTTGATGAAGCCGTGCTGTGTGGGTGTTAGGAGATCTTTCGACTTCAGCAGCTGGAGAAGATCCTTTTCACAATCTTCTAGAGCGCCTTCGCCAAAACAGAGGTTAGACAAATTAGCCAGTAATTATTTACATTGCGCGGGTCACCATCTTTTGGAATCGCCTTCACTACCGAACCTTTCCAATCGCTCGGCAATGCACCTTCGGACAGCGATCTGTTGAACAGATCCATCACGGCAGGCGAGATGATGACCGATAAGAACTTGGAAATTAGGGAGTGAAGTCCATCGGGTCAGGCAGATTTCGCGCCGTCAAGACTGGCGAGTAGACTGTGGACATCTCCTACACCACAATCCAAGCTTTTGAGTTCAGTAGGGGCCGCACACCTCGAGCTCGGCATAGACATATACCAACTTGTAAATACGGTAGCGAAGTTTTCTACAAATGCGGACGCACGTTCAGTGCTGGAGATCAGAGGCTGTCCATCAATGCCCTCTAACACAGCTACGTCACTTACGACCCTCAGGCACTGCTTCACGTAAGCAAAACTCTTCTTAGGGGCCGTCTTTACTGAGGTTGCAAGCTCCTATTCGCAGTGCCGACGCTTTTGCGCTGTTGCATCAATTCGGTTGCCTTTTGTACACCTCATAATTCTCGGCACAGCCAGAGGCGAGGAATTTATTCCGCAATACGCGTCGCCGTCGAGCCAATTGACTCTACTCTCTGTCAAACCAATGTGGTTTCACTGGCCCAGCTTTCTGATACTTGAGGGATACGAAACGAGCTCACAACGATTGTACACCCACTTTTATTATAGACCAACAGGCTTCGACAGGTGAATCATGTGGCAGCGACCACTGTACTTCACTGGCGACTCGATTTAGATCATCGAAGTCAGTCTTCCAATAATTGTCGGACGGCTCCGGCGGACGCGAGTAGGGTAGCAGCAGCTCTAGGCTGCTAACGCCATCTAGTGGTCACCATTTGCCAGAGGCTCCAGGACCTGAATTTCATATACACGTTGCTCGCAACTCGTTAGTAATAGGTCCAGGCACGATGGAGCGGAATGAGGGGTAACTCGCGTCGGTTGGCAGACGTGTTGTGCTGCCGCAGTTTCAAATACCATCTCCGCAAACTGTGCCTCGATTTCAGAATGCACGGGGAGAAGTTGGACTTCAGGCCACCGTATTCGAGGGAAGTTAAAATCACCCATAAGCAGAAAGCAGGGTCGACTCATGCAGTTTCTGACACGCAGCAACCAATCCAGGCATCAACTTCGCGGGTTGCAATAAGGCGCACCCAAAAACAGTTCACCCTGTTCGCACAAGCCATCTTCGCTGCGGTAGGTGTGCACCAGCCATCCGCACAACGAGGACCGAATGTAGAACAGCACGCCGCCTTGGTCGTTTGGTAGTCTGTCGTACCGGAAACACGAGTAGCCATTGCTACGGACTTTCTGGGTAGTGACCTCGGGATTTAACTAAGTTTCGGCCAGTCGTAATACGTCCGGACTACGAGAGGCAACGAAGTGATATACGTCGTCATGTTTGTTCAGTAAACTACAAACATTTATGAAAGCTACGCGCCATCCACATTAGCAACCGACGGACGCGCACGAAGCCTGTTGATGCGGATTCGGCGGACCCGAAAATTTGCAATGTGGAGATTGGTTTCTCCACTATCAGTCCGCCACTTCAATTCCACGATAGCGGACTTTAGTTTCTCACTGTCCGACGGATCCAAATCGGGACGAATATGGATCTTTAGACATCTTAGCCTACCGAAGAGGCACAGTATCAGCCTCGGACTCGTTTCATCAACAAACTTGACTCTCAGAGGGCAGGACCTTCCTTCCACTTTCTTTCCAAGACGGGTGATTTGATTCAACCGAAATCTCTGTTCATTCACTTCGATAAGCTTATCAGTCAGGCTGGTTATACGCCGGTTGAGATTCTGCGATGGCGCCCAAACCTAGACAGGGGCAAAAATTCGGACTCAGTGCCTATTGATTGCGATCCCAATGCCTTAGCCACTACACAACCGCAACTGTCTCGCACCGCTTCATTTCAGTTCATTTGCACACTTATGATACGGACACCGACGTGCGGAGGTTCCGGTTGCCCCGATTCTCTCGGCAAGAATAACACTACTTAACAGCGGTAAGAAGGCGAGATTGAACGCAAACAGAATACGGATAAAATGGAATCAATGGAGAAGTGGGCAATATTAATCGGGATAGGAGCTCAAGTGTTGGATACAAGGA